ACACATTCAAAAACATATTTTTTGAGCCCAAATAGAAATAAAAATATTTTAATAATTAAGCAGGAACATGACAAAGAAGAAATTAGAGAAACATTTGCTGTAATACCCCAAGACAATTGTATTCTTAGTTTTCTTGAATTAGATGATTTATAAGTTTGTTTTGAGTCGCAAGCAATATGAAAGAGCACATAGAAGATGGGAGATCTACCCATAACTAAGAAAAGCTTAATATGAACCATAGATGATAGAAGGGAGGACACTAAAAAGAAGGTTTTAGCAGGAAAGTGGTAAATCTTAAACCTTACTTGCCTAAAAAACATCCTACAGAATTATGGAGTGGAAAGAGCTTTGAAGAGAGCTAGAGATAGACATGGGTTTCCAATTGTGTTTCTGCCTCCTGCTAAATGTGAGCGCCAGGGCAAAATTACTTAACTTGCCCAGCGCTCAGTTTCTTAGTCTATAAAATGGGTATTATAAATCTCTAGTTCACAGGGTTGGTATGAGAATTGGTCTATAAAGTGACACACGGTAGGAAGTTACCTTAAATTGTAATTATTAGTGAATCTGGAAAAGATTTACTATTGACTTGAAAGTCATGTTGTTTTTTCAATATGAAGTAAAGATATCAGAGTTTTTCATCTAAACTTTCCTCAGAGATTTCTTTTCCTAATTCATCTACCACATTGGCAGAAAAAGCATTGTAAGCTTAACTTGGCTAAGTCTGCTTCATTCATCTGTCAACAAGATTCTGGGCTTCAAATTGAGTTGACAATTGCTGAAGGTAGATGGGACAGAACGGGCTGCACAGGAGCGTCGTATTTCGCACCTCAGAGGGCTCTATGCTACCAACAATAACATCATATCTCTGTCAGTCAAGCAATTATAGGGCCTGATAGACTGATATAAATACAAAGCCAGTTAAAACAGGTCTCCGGACTCTTTTCTGGCTACAGTTATAGGACTTGTTTGAATATTAGAATAGCATCTCCTCTGGGCACAAAAAGACAGAGAAACCACATCCTCCACTGACTCTAAGAAAGGTCAAAAGTAGTGCAAAATTTACTACATTTAAAAACTCTGAAATCACTTTGTAAATTTTAATCTTACTCCTTGCTTCTTATTGAAACATGATTGTATTTCTAAGAAATCCAAAGTAGGTGGTACAATTTCATGGCACTTGGAATCAGGTAACACAATGGTCAGGCAAATCATTCTAGCAAACATATTTGTGATATCTGAGCTGGGTGCTCAAAGCACTTTCATGGATTCCTTTAAAGCAATGTTTTATTACATGTTACCTTTATGAAAAAGAAAATAGAAAGAAGTACCTGATATTCATGTAAAAGTAAATTACATACATTATCATAAAATTGCTCCATTGCAGCCATTTATAATGGAGACTCCTGTGGTAGCAATATCTTGTTGTCAAAATGGATAACCGAGTAATAAGCTGAACATCATCCTAAAGAGAGAATTGATATGTGGGATCTAATTCAAGGTGTATTTCAAGTTTTAAATTATAAATGATCTCAATATGCAAGATATAGAAACTGACACAAGCAATAACACTTTAGCCACATACTAATCTGGTGTGATATATCCATGTTTTCCAAAATACATCAAGTGAAGATGTAAATATAAGACTGTACAATTAAATTTTATCATTACCCTTTTTTAGTTTTACCCTTCTAGAGTTATTACTTCAGGAGGGCAATGAAAAAGGGGACTCTTAGTGACAAAAGAGATGTCACTGTCCCTTGGGTCAATCAATCTTTCATTTGTTTGTTTCATAAGTGTCCATATGCATTTTTTGCACTACTGAGCAGATCTCACAAGTGAATGACAAGAGAATACAAACCCTGACACCAGGTTGCACTTCATAATCTTTCTGTACATGGGAAGGCACGGCAGCAGAGAAGCCCATGGCTAGAAGGAAGCTTGCGGAACTTCCTTGTGCCAAGCATTCTAACACAGGCTCGGTGCCACAAGTTGCTCACCAGAAGGAAGACTTTGGAATTTTTCAGACTACCTTCGTGCTTCATGTATTTACAGGATGGAGACAAGGCCAACTGTCATTACAATGGCAGCATAAGCATTGATATTTCATCCAATTTCTTAAATGTGCAGATAGTTAAATATATTGTTTAAAAAACACAAAATTAGGAAAATAAAATTTCTCTAAAAATAAAATCACAGAAACTTTCACGTTTCAGTTCATGGAAAAGAAATGGAAGGGGGAAAATACACATCAAATTAAATGATGCTAGAACTAGGAAGAGTATGGTCACCTTAAATTATAATTTTTAATAATTGGACATTATGTCTCAATAATGTATCACTGGTAAACCTATTTAATCATAATAATGCCACTGTTCATGAACTTTTATTCAGATGTGAGAAATATAATGAAAATATTTTATAAAGTGAGCTCCTCTAGAGTAAAATTTGATAAAAGGCAAATACTTCTTGAATATCATATATGAAAGTTTATTAGAAATTAGAGGCTCAACAGAATTTCATTATAAGGTATTTTACCCATAAGGGTTCCCCTGATATGGGGTCCCACGTACTATAAGACTCCATTGGATAGGTAAAGATAGCATAATCAATACATATATTTTCTCCTTTTCACAGTCAATGGTTTTCATCTTACCAAATGTGAGTGACTTGAGTTATCTTTTAGTCAGTATGAAAACTCATGATTATACCTTATTTCTTAGGTTTAATGCTGTTTGCTAAACTTCTTACAACTTCTTGAAAATGTAGTTGAGATGGGACAGTATGAATGCTTGTTTTACAGATTAACTACTTTACATTTTTTGGACATGTTTTTAATTTACATCATTATTTATATAAAGAAACATGATTTGACCCATGGCCTGCCATTGTTATGCAGTGATCCATGTTATAAGACACTCATAGCTCATAAGGAATAAGGATAATGGAGTAAATGGAAAAGGTCTGAATCAGACATATCTAACTGAATTCCAACTTTGTAAACTCTCTCTAGAGGTGCAACTATTGGTAATTAACCTCTATGAGTCTTTTCCTCACTAAACAATGAGAATGTAACAACAGGAATTTTGTGATGCAAATTGGAAGTATGTGTGTAAAATGCCTAGAATATTGCCTTCCATATATAGACATACTTCATTATTATTACATTTCACTTTTTTTGGGTTTCACAGATATAAAGCTTGTTTTTCTTTTAATACACATTGAAGGTTTGCAGCAATCCTGCATTGTGTAAGTCTATAGGCACCACTTTTCCAACAGCGTTTGCTCACTTTGTGTCTCTGTGCCACATCTCGGTAGGTCTCACAGTATTTCAAACTTTTTTTATTATTATTATAACTGTTATGGTGATCTGTAATTCATGTTCATGATGCACTGAAATCTCAGGTGATGATTAGCATTTTTAGCAATAAAATATTTTTAATTAAGGCAGGTACCTTATTTTTTTTTTAACATAATGCTATTATACAGGCTAGAGTATAGTGTAAACATAACTTTTAAATGAACTAGGAAGCCAAAAATTCACTTGGCTTGCTTTATTGTGATATTCACTTTATTGCAATGGTCTGGAACCAAACCCACAATATCTTCCAGGTATGCCTGTATTCGGGGCTTAAACATATTAGTTCTATTTTCATTTTATATAATAAGAAAGGAAAAAACAATTCAATCTTTAGTAGAGATTCTGGACTAATAAATGGCCCCAAGAAATCAGGATCTAGATGGGTGCCTAAATTTGTGAAGGACCAAAGAAGAAATACTAGAACCTGCAATGTCACCATTTGGCAGAAGCAAGATTTAACTACCTCTTTGCATTTCTAATACTTGTTTACACACACACACACACACACACACACACACACACACACACACTCAGCCTTGAACACTCTATTCTGACTGTAATTTCCAGAGTTTTCTCTGGGTAGTAGTGGTTTGTTTCTAGTTTTAAAGACAGTCTTAAATATGTAGCCAAAGAATAAGGCTCCTAGACCTGGGGCATACCATCTGCCTAGCATTAAGCAAGAGCTCAAAGTCAGGTACAGAAGCAAAGTCACTTCTAACATGATTTATGTTCCACCGTTGAACGTGGCAGGAAGACTGCAAAAGATATTTGGAAGCCAATGCTTCCTCTGAATAAAGTAAACGAGTATATGCTAAGCCCCTCTCCCTGGACCATGCTGGCCTGTTAGATAAGCTGCCAATGTGGAGTCTTTGAACCCTAGAGCAAACTAGCTATTCGGGATGAGAAAGTATCTCAAGGTCAATGATCATGGCTACCGTAAACGTACAGTGGACAATGCAAACACTGAGGTCAGACAACAGATATCCAGGATATTATTACTCAAAAACACATCTAGCTCAAAGCTGACAAGATAATCTGTTCCTGTGAGTGCAAAGCAGGCTGGAATGCTGCAGCTCTGACCTACTCAAGGAACAAAAAAAGAGAGTGCAACTCTCCAAGGGCTCCATCTCATGTTCTTTATGCAGGCAAACTCCAAGGGACTTCAAAGGGAGTGTTGCCTAAGGAGGGAGTACTCGACCAAGTCCATGGGGGGGGTATCATTTCCATGATCATGTTGCCATCTACATTTGGTGGACTGGCAAATGCAAATATTTCAGATACAAGTTTAAACAGATGAAAAAAGAAGTGCGAAATAGCTTGGGGATTTGCTTGCAAGAGAAACCTCGGAATTCCAGGAAAAGTATTTAATATCAGGAGCTTCATAAGTTAGTCCAAAAGTCCCAAGAGAGTAATTGACTTGTGAGCATATTAAAAATAAAGTTTTTTTTAATTGACACATATTACACTTCAATATATTCAAAATAGTGCACTTAAAAAGTAACTTCCCAGTGTTAAATATTCTTCAAAGGTCAGTAACAGTTTTCTAATTGAAATACAGACTATGTTTTAATGTCTTAACATACTTTTAACATACGTGATCCTGATTAACGTAGAAGAGCCCAAATGCAGCAAATATACTTACAGGAGGACCTGTGGGGTAGGGGTGGGTGGAGAGAATAAGAGAAAAGAAGAGATGAATTAGCGAATATGCAAAATACAAAGATTAAATAAAAGAGTCATAATCATAAGCAAACTACAAGGGACAAAGAAGTCATCTAGAGTTCAATGGTTCTTAATTTTTTTTAGGCCATGGACAACTTTGATACCATATCAGAAAAGTATACTTAATATCTATACGCACACAAAATTTTATATAAAATTTCAATGGATGTTCAGATTCCCTGAGGCCTGTCTATGAATCACTGAAAGGCCCATCTTAAGATGGCTTATTTATATGCCTAAAAATTTAGATAAAATGTGAATCAGGAGGATCTTTGGTCATTAATGATAGCCCAGGTATAGAGAATTGATATATAACTTTCTGGAGTTTGGTAAAATGGCTAAATGAGAAATGTACTCATTATTTGCTCTAAAAATGTTTTTCATTCAGTAGCACTGTCAATATATAAAAGACTAAACCTTGATGTTTATATGTTTCTTTAAAACTATGTATTATCATCAAAACATAGGCAAAGTCTAAGAAAATTTCAATTATTTGCACACTGTATGCTCAGTTAAAACACAAACACAAATTTTTAGCAGTCAAGAAGTTAGGAATTGACTTTTTAAATTTCTATAAAACTTCACATAAGTACAAAATTTTTACTTCCCCCCATCCTTTTTATTTCATTTGACAAAGATCAATTCACTGATTATTTGACTCTACTAATGTTTTATTTCTTTTTCCTTAAAACACACTTATAAACCATCTTCTAATATAAAACTTTGCATTTTGTGAAAGGGATACCTGTACAAGCTTCCAATTAGTTAGATTAAATGAGGTTGAAACATAACTTTTAAGAACACTTTTATTTATTTTTATTAAAAAAATTTTTTTTTGAGAAAGAGAAACAGAGGGTGAGCAGGGGAGGGGCAGAGAGAAAGGAAAACACAGAATCTGAAGCAGGCTACAGGCTCCTAGCTGTCAGCACAGAGTCTGATGCAGGGCTCAAACCCACAAACCCTAAGTTAGTGACTTGAGCCAAAACTGGGCTCGCTTAACCAGCTGAGCCACCCAGGTGCCCCAAGAATACTTTTAAAGAAATTAAGCAGGTATAGTGCCCAAATTATTGAATTTTCATAAATCCTTTTCACTTCAACACATTTTTTTCCAAAAGAGTAGAGGAAATGACGCAAAAAACTGAAAACACTACACATCAATCTGTTCCTTTTTTTTTTTGACAGGTCAGTATTTCTACTGGAAACAAGCATTTCTTAGCATACTAGAATCAAACCTTGAATTACTTTCAAAGTGAAGGAAAACTCAAAAAAATGTTTTTTGAAACCAAATATCCAAATAGTGTGTGCACTTCCTATTTTACTTATTTTATAAAGTCTCATCTCCAAAATGTAAATGACCATGTGAAGTTTTAGGAGGCCATCAACTCTTCCTTGCAAAGTAAGAGGAAGTACATACAGGGATTTGGCCTGAAAACAAAATCTCACTGAAATAAGGCATCAGGACAATTGATTCTGTTTCAAATTCTCCTCTTAAAAATTTGCGAGGTCTTGGCTGAATCACCTGACTGTCCTGGGGCCTCCATGTCCTCAATGACAAAATGAAAATGCTGGATTGATTACTAATGCTGCTGTCATCCCTAAAATTTGAGGGTTATAAAGAGAAATAAAAATTCCAAATTTTGAAATGAATGAGAGTAAAAGCATGACAAAATCGTACCAGTTGGATAAAATAACAATAAAGCTTTCCAAGACATGTGCCCCAGTGTCCCAAAGCAGATGTTTTCACAAAGGCCCTGAATGTACATGTATATGTACATCCATGGAGACAGAAGCATGGGTGATATTGCCACACTGTGTGCAGCTAAAAAACCCTCTACTATATACAGAAAGGACAGACTTAACCTGACGCAGTAAATAGCCCCAAGTTGAGTGCCAGAGGTTATCAATTTAACAACTTAACAATATTTTCCAAACTTCTACCTATGGTTTGATGGAAATAGGAGAGGATAAAAAAAAGAAATCCTAGGTCTAGCAAAGATTTAGACACATGCACAAGCTTGTGGGCAATCTCCAGTAAGACAATATAATCACTAATTAGGAGGAACAGATGCAGGAATCTAACCAAAACATTAATGACAAAGAGCAGCTGAAAGAGACACTTACCAGATTCTCCTCTTCGGCCTCTCTTACCTCGTTTCCCCGGAGGGCCTGAAATACAAAGAAGAATTTTTTGAAACTGGCTTAATATTTTCTTTTTACTCCAAAATGGCTAGTAAATAACTTTTGATGTATTTTATCACTAGTTTTAACTAATAATCTCCAAAAAAGACCAGATATTTGTAAAGGCCAGCTTATCTTAGTGACAAAACTCTTAAGCTTCAGTTAATTATAAAACCTATGCCAGATGTCTAATCATCTAGCATTACTTAAGAACACTAAATATTCAGAATTTTTATTCATCCTGCCTAGATATCATCAACAAAGTCTACTTTAATTGCAAATTGATACTGAGATTTCATGTTTCTTAGAAAAATTTCTTTTACAAAGATTTCATTATTAATAATTAAAAGTACTAAGTACAAGATTATAGTTTCTCTTCACTCAGATTCATCATTATTGATGATTTCTTTGAAAATACTTAGTTAGCAGTTAGCTAAATGTATGTATTTGTAATGGGAATAATTCTGACAATATTTCTGTTTTATTAAATATGAATTTTCATATATGAAAATTTCTCTTACTGAGAACCAGCTGAGTTAAAGTCATACTCTTTCATTGGAAAGTGTTTAGGTACTAACTATAGGTCTCATTTTTCCAAGGAGCTAGCTCATTACTGCCATTCAGTAAGTAGTTAGTCTTTATGATGATTCCACTTTGAAAGAGAAAGACCTTTTTTCCAGTGAATTGCCTATAAAGACCACCAAGCTAGTATGTATCAGACTTAACACAAGATTCTCGACATTCATGGCTTTCAAGCCATTACTCTCAATTATATAATTTCTGCCCTCATTTCCTTGAATAGGAATAGCTTCCACTGAATTATGGTTCAGGCAAATAGGAGAGAATAATTAGCCCACAATGAGAATTAAGGTCTTATAATATTTGCTGGAAGAAAGAGGCCAAGGAAAATACAGACCCTTCCGGTTTTAAAGAATGAGCTGCTAAGCTGGACTGATGACTTCCAAACTCTAGACAGTTCAAGACACAAGCAGCACAGGCCTTAGCAGACAGCCGGCTCCCAACGTGATCCTGAGCTACCAACTTCCACGTGGAAACACTATCATGAGAATAAAAACATCAGTGGGCCAGTTAGCTTCCCCTCAAGCCCTTACACAGAGTAAGTCTGGCCATCTGTGTTTTGTAAGAGGTTAAAAACAATCAAGCAATAAAATTGATTGAAAATGTTAGGAGAAGCAGCAGAGTCCAAAATTGTTATTCAAAATTTCAGATCTCTTTCTGTATTTTGGACAAAAGAGAAATTTATTGAATCATACTCAAGATATTCTTGGCCAAACTGAGAGCAGAAGAAAAAAATTGCATAAATAGGTAAATAAACTCAGTGGGACCCTAAAAGGTATGAAAAATACATATCTATTTACACACATTCGAACACACATGCACAGAAATATATTGATATATTTTGATATTCAATGTTTTTAAGATTAGGAATCAGCTTTTTTTTTATTATAAAATTACTTAAACTAAGAAGTATTTAGCCATAATTATATGCTTCTGATGTCTATGGTCTGCATAGTAGGGGTTATAGGTTAATGTATAAGAAGTATATCTGTCCTGAAGAGGCAAAGAAGTTGAAAAGATTAAATAAAATGACACATATGAAATATTTGCTAGTGGCATGTTGTGAAGATGGCTCCATGGGTTTATGCTCTGATTTGTTCCTTTTACTCAAAACATACGGTCAATTATAAAAAGAGAAAAAGGTTTTAGAAGAATTTGTATTCAAAAAAAAATGGGCATGTTCACAGGCTAAAAATGGACCAAAAATGCAAAGTGGAAAGCAGGGATAAAACCATGAGCCTGTTGGGCTCTAGTTCTAGACATAGAAATGATGGCCACAAGTACAATTCCTGGAGAATAAATACTCAAAACTTTCTAACCAGAGTCAGACTCACTTAATAAAGCCAGCAGCTTGGAAATGCTGACGATAAGTTGAAAATACCCAGGTCTCTGGTTTAAAGGCTGAAGAATATGGACATAATCTTTCAATCAGAAAATGAATAAGCATCTGCAGATTTGATGCCTAACTCTATGATATCTACAACATAGATCTAGAACAGAAGTCAAGAAATGCCATTTTAATATTTTTAATGTTTATTTATTTTTGAGAGACAGAGAGGGAGCAGGGGAGGGGCAGAGAGAGAGGGAGACACAGAATCTGAAGCAGGCTCCAGGCTCTGAGCTGACAGCACAGAGCCTGATGAGGGGCTCGAACTCATGAACTGCTAGATCATGAGCTTAGTTGAAGTCAGATGCTTAACCAACTGAGCCACCCAGGTGCCCCTAGAAATGCCATTTTAAAACCAATATGATCTAGAAAGCTGAGAATGTCTGGGAAAGACAAACAAAAAACACTTAGGTAAGAAAGGGTGAATACAGAGGAAAGAAAAGCAGACATACATAGTGAGAAAACTACACTGGAAGAAAGAAAGAGAGAAAGAAGGAGAGAGAGAGGGAGGGAGGAAGGCAGGCAAACAGAAAGAATACATAATGCATACACAAAACAAAATTCCAAAACATATGAAGAAATCTAATGCTAAGAAAGGCAGAACTCAACAATAGGATCATGAATTCTTTCCTGGTAAAATTAATTTTTAAAAAATCAGACAAAAGTCAGTACATTAATTATACTTTAAAAGATAAATTAAAAAGAATATTCATCAAAGAGCAAGGGATTTTAAGGGTAAATAAGAAAAAAATCTATTTGAAAGAGAACCCCTTAGAAACCTGGAAAAAAAAAAAAAAAAGAAACCATTTAAATGCTAGCCTGGATATGGTTAAAGACAGATTGATATAGAATATGAAGAATGCAGCCCCAAGACAGATCCAATATTGACCTATTCCTATCTATCTATCTATCTATCTATCTATCTATCTGGCTGGCTGGCTGGCTATCTATCTAGCTACACTGGTCCAAATGTTTGTAGGCTCCCCAAATTCATATATTGAAAATCTAACTGCCAAAAATGATGGTATTAGGAGGTGGCACCTTTGGGAGACAACTAATATATGAGGCTAGGGCTCTCATAAATGGGATTCGTGCCTTATAAAAGCCCACAAAGACTCTCAAACCCTTCCACTGTGAGGATAGAATGAGAAAACACCATCTATGAACCAGGAAGAGAGCCCTTACCAGAAGGTGACCATTCTGGCATTTTGATCTTAGACTTCCCAGCTTCCACAACTGTGAGCAAAACAGTTCTGCCGTTTACAAGGCACCCAGCCTGTGGTATTTTGGTATAGCAGCCCTAACAGACTAAGACACTATCTATCTATATGTCTATTTACCCACCTACCCACTTATCTGTGTCAAGAAGCAAAATTTCACTTACATAACCAAGAGGATCCAAAAGAAAAGATAGAGAAGCCCTTGTTTAAGTGATAATAGATGAAGATTTTCCAGAACTGAATATAGGAGTCCTAAGATTGAAGTTATACCCCAAGTGACAAGTAAAAATAAGTCACACTTAAATTTAATAAAGTTCAAGAATTAAGAGAAAATGTTAGGAACTACCAGAGGGAAAATTACAATGGAAGGTATTTAGACTGACGTCTCACCCACAACAAAGGTGTCACAAGAGCTCAGTCTTGATTTTCATAATAAATCTCAGAAATCTCTAATTATTATTTGTTTATTGGAATTAGTTTATCATTTCCCCCCTGACAAATGTTCCTTTTACATAGTAGAATTTACCAATAAAAATAAATTGCATAAGTATTTTAAATAGTTTGAAATAAGCTATAAAGCAGTATTTAAAAGATATCAAGTAATGAAAAATGAACAAAAATGCAATCATATCTTTTGAAGAACTCAAGAGCAAAGAATATTTCTTAATATGTCTGCCTTAACTATTCAACCAGAGACTTAAAGAAATAAACCAAATGCTGTGGGAAAAGTATCTGTTATATTGAGAATTGAGAAAGAATAGAATCTAAGGAAACTGAAAAGATACTTGGCAAACATAACTATTGAAAGTGAAAAGGGTCTACAAAGAATTTCATAATATGTGAGAGAGAAAATGAAGTTAAGCTGAGTTATGATAAGATGAAAATCTAAACTATGGGATTTACAAAGAATATACTAGATTAGAGTATGTAGAGTTCCTGTAAGAAACAGAAGACTCAAGTGAGCATTATAGTAAGCTTATTGAACTAATAAATTTTGTAAAAATCTCCCAAAGACATAGAGACAGATCTTACTTAAAAGAGAATAAATAAGATTTTTGAAAAAGTCTACTGTGCAGATCAGACAGTTTGACACTGCTTTGGATTTTAGGGATGAAAATAATTTTTAAAAAATGATTGGATGGCATGAATTTAACAATTGACAATTGGACACTAGGATGAAAAATCAGAAAAGGCAAATAATAGATGTTGCCCAGACAAAACTGATGTTAACAACAGTTGAGAAAGATAGTGGCCATTTCCATTCTAAACTGAGTGATGAAGTGCTGGACAGGCATGAGCTGTATGAACAAATACAGAAGCTAAAACATGACTCTTATTCACTGAATTTGGCCAGGTACTTGAAGCAGAAATTCTCAGTGAACTCTGTCAGCAGAAAGTCATGACTCTGCAAAAGAAACTGGTTCAGGAATATGAATGGGAAGCTATCAGTAACAGAAGAAGTGAAAGCTTACCAGCAGATAATTCATGAAATGAGAAATGAGTTATGGAAAATAGATAGAGGCTATAAAACCAGATTGCTTTTTATAAAAACCAAATTTGTGCCAATCAGTACTGTTCATGTTTCAGAAAGAGTTTTCTCTTGAAAGACAAGGCAAACTGTCAGCGTGAAATAGACATTAGTAAAAATTAGCCATAATGGTAATGCTTTAAAGACCTGTGTCAACAAACCCAATTGGAGATAGATCCAGGTCATCAAATCACATCATAACAAGGCGTCTTAAGCCAAGCTAATTCTTTTGGCCCAAAACTAATATTCGCTGGAGCACTCTACTCCTTACTAA